TTTGGAGTCTTTTGAAATTTTGTTCTAACGAAACTTATAAAATCTTTTAAGCGAGCTACGACCTCGGACTTGCGTCTGAGTAAATACAAATTACAGTACCTACTGTAATCATCAATAAACGTCACGAAGTAACGGAAACCACTTGGTGTTGTTTTATTCATTACAGCAACATCTGTGTGTATTAAATCTAACACAGCACCTGACTGCTCACCTGCTACCTTCGGAAATGGTTTTCTTGTCAGCTTACCAATAAGGCATACTTCGCACTGAAACTCAGCATCACACGGATTGACTTTGATGTTCTTGTCCTTCAAATACGACCACACAACCTTGATGTCACGATGACCCAACTTTCGATGCCAGTCATGTACACATCCTTGATGTCGTCCAGCACTGTTCACCATATTCACCTCTGCACAAGTCACCCTCAGCTTGTATAAATCATTGTTTAATTCAGCTGTGGCTTTTACTTGATTATGTTTAATAATTTTACAATTATTTCCTTCAAAGAGTACTTGATAACCCATCTCGGTTAACTTCTTCACCGATAGCAAGTTGCTTTCTATTGAAGAAACGAACAAAACATCCTTTACATTTATCCTTTCAGACTCACCATCAGCATTTATTATCTCGATGTGACCACTGCCTCTGCCTTGCGACCGAATTTGGTAACCATTTGCGACATTAACAGCTTCTTGGATATTATCGTTTAGCATGTCAAAAAAAAAACCCGATTGTTTGCGATGTGACATGTTGCTCCTGAATCGATGTACCAATCATTTTTCGTCGACTTGCCTAACCAAAAACATTGCTCTTCCAGTGAATCATCTTGTTTCCCGGCCATATTAACGTGATATTTTTGCTTCTCTTTAAAAAATTTACAATCCTTCTTCATGTGCCCTTTTTTCTTGCAATAAAAACACTCGATCTGAACTCCCGTCCTTTTGAATTGAGTCTTTCTCCCTTCGATTTTCAGCACCGCCGAATCCGAAGTATTCCGTTTGTGCACCTTACGTTTAGCCTCTTCCAAAAGTTTTCCTTTGACGAAGTTAATGTTAAGCTGTATCTCATCTCTTGCTTCCAACGCAACAATTAATGGATCGTATGACTCCGGAAGACTGCTCAACAGCATAGCAACAGTCCAGGAACTGCTTAGTGGATCACCCATCATGGATAGCTGCTCAACGTAACTCATCAAATCGTTAATATGCTGCTCCATTTTCTCATCGTCGTATAATTGCATTTTGCAAATCGTCTTCATCAGAAAAACACGACTGCTAAGGGATGGTTTTTCATAAAACTCTTTCAGGACATTCCAATAATCCTTGGCTGTAACCGCGTTTTTGAAATGCACCAGTTGATCATCATTCACCATCAGTCCAACGGTTGCACGAGCTTGTCCGTCCTGCTTGATCCAGTTTGCGTCCGGCTGCGCTGGCTTCGGCTTTGAGACTATGTCCCACAAATCTTCCTTGATCAGCAGTAGTTCCATCTTTACCTTCCATGTTGCGTAGTTTTCACCATTTAGTTTGGCGATCGTTGTACTAACGCCTTCCTTCGACATTGCGCGATGGCCCATAACCTATTGGGAAATGCTCCCAATGTATGAAAACGCAGTGAAGTTGTAGATAGGAAGTTTTATTTTAGAATGAAAAATTTCTCGTATACATTTTTCACATTTGAAAATAAGAACAATAGTGAGTAAGTATTTTTGCTTTACAATATTAGCAAGTAAATATTCGTATAGTGTTTTCCAAAAATCCAACAGATGTTTGGTCCTCGGTCCATCGCCATCGAGTTGGTTCCACGATTTTCGTTCTAGAAACAGCCAAGTAGCTAGAACCAAGTGACATATTACAGGCTCGGGGCCCCGCGGAATTCAAACAGCCCCAGTCTGCAATAGAGCGTTTTCCGTGGAGACTGAATTAATAACGATAGGACCAATGATACCTTCTTTGTCTATCCTGGCACCTGTAGTAGACCGTCGCAAGCCACCACATGTTTTTTGGCTCGTCAATCGCTTTGGTGATGGCGGCGATGCCACCCATAGTCTTCCCGCTGCCATCATCGATTAACCGCCGTATTCTACAAAGTCACAAACTTTAGCTCATCGCGGCTGTGATTTCTGCTGTTCCTCAAAGTTTGCCGCTATAACATAAGTTTTTAAGCTTTTGTGTATTTTTCTAGCACCTAAATTTGAATTTTGGGGATACATCTTGATTTCTAGACAACAGTTATGAGATAACTTGTGTAACTCTGTTAGAATAGAGGGTTAAGTCTCCGAACATTGTAAGTCCATGCCCTCAACTCATAGCCCTCTAAACATTTACAGTGGTCTTTTTATAAAAGAAGGCGGTCACATCCAATGCTTTATTTTAACTTTCATTGTAACTTTGCTTAAGCTGCCGAGTCCTAAATCCAACGCTCAAACAGATCATATCACTAGACACGAATAAAGGCGCGTGCTCAAAAGTTGGTGGCGAAAAAAGACTTGTTAACCTATTTGACGACAAAGAAAGACGCGTAAAATTATTTTCGTGGTCAATTATGTTTGAAGGGACAGTCCTTGGCCGTGTATAAATCTATGTTTATGCGCATTTCTTCGCCCTCAACTAGGTTACGAGTCTTTCTTCGCCGAAGTTTTTCTTAAGCGTCTTTTTTCGTAATTTTTTTTTGTTGCGTCTTTTTTCGCCGTCAAAACACTAACACGCCCTTATTCGTGTCTAGTAACGATATGTTATTTTTAACTGCTACACGTTTATATAGCATGACTCTTGTACAAAGACAGACACTCTTGCAGTAGCATCTCGCGGTGGACAGCTCCTGCAAATTTCAATCAGTTTTTAGACCAAAAAAGTCGGGGTAGCGGCAAAAAACGGCTCCATACGTTTTGGTTACCCCATCTCGCACATGGACTGCTCATGTTGCCCAAGGTGCGCAAGAGTAGGATTTAAGCATATTCGAGTTACTATAGTTTCACACCCCGAAGCCCTGCTATACCTAATTGCACTCCTAACCAAACTATTGGTGCGCTCTTATTGAATTATTAGCCCTGTTTTCGTGCGCACTATCCAGAATGGCGAGGGGAAATTGAGAGCAAAAATAACAACTGAACTTGCAAGTTTTACTGGATTTTTACTAGATACATTTTTACTAGTAACTATTTTCCAGTAAGAAAAACAGCTGATGGCATGACTAAGCGATTTACACTAACAAAAAAATTGTTGGTGAGGTTTTTATAGTTGCAATTGACAAGATAAACCTATTTAAATATATGGGAGATTCCATGAGAAACTGAACCTCCGTGTAAAAATTACTTTCTTTATAAAACTAACAAACGTGTGGATAAGACATTTGTAAAAATCTTGAATCCCCCAAAAAATAACAAATTAAAGCTTTAAATGCACTTTTATTACCTTTTTTACGTTTTGAAATCCAAGTTCTAAGTAAATTTGGAGTGAGTTTAATGTAGGTTGTGTCGAAAGAACTGTCAAAAAATTTGCGATTCATAATTCAAGTGTTTGGTAAGAAAAATATATATGTAGTAGAACTCATCTGCTTTTAATAAAATTGTTTTATACATATATTAAATTGTGTGAGTGCTTTATCTATATTATGAGTTATTATTAACCAGTATTGGTGTCCCAACCGTGACAGCTAGAAGTGGGACAGTTGTCAGAGGTAGGTTTACAGGATTGATAACCTTAATTTGCTTGTTGAGGTGAATGCAGGGGAGGAGGGGGGCAGCGTGGACTCGCCCATTACCTATATACCCTTGTGGTCAGCTGATTAAGTTAAGTGACATTTTGACCAGTTTTGGTTTTTTCTTTTGTTTATTTAATGTTTATCGTTTTTTTTTTTATAAAAGTCTAGCACATTAAATAACCAGAACCACAAACATCCACATTTAAAACTTAAATTTTGGATTTTTTTTATATTAAATTTAAGTTTTTAAATCTATTATTTATATTAATTTTTTTTGTAGTCTTTGCTTTGTTTGTACTTATTCGTGGTTCTTTGTTTTGTTATAAAGACGTCAAGTTCACACAGAAAGTGAAATAAATTCGCAGAGTTCTCGTAAAATATATCTGCTCCAAAAAGCAGGTCCTTTTATTTGTCCCACTCGTGACAGAAGAAATAACTCAGATTTTTTTCCATATGTAAGCTGGAATTTTATTCGTATTTTATAATGACTCATATAATAGTCAACTAGGTGTAGCTTTATCAAAATCTCGAATTGTTGAGTACTTTATACTTAAATTTAAACAAGAAAGAACATTTTTTCTTTACAAATGTCCCACCCATGACGGTGGAATCGCCCATATAATAAGATGAGAAATACTATTTTTCTTAGAAAATTGCTTCGAAAAATAACAAATTATTCAGCTGTTCGTAAAACTTGCAACTACTTGCTGCTTCGTTTTCGTACTTTCTTGCATATTTCTTTCATTGGGAGTAAATATTGGCTTATTCTCCGAAATTTGGTACTGGATAGTTTTTTGTTGGTAAAAACGAAAACACAACTATTGATTAGTAGTAGTTGTATTCATTTGGAGAAGCCGAAAAGAATTAGCCAGTAAAAAAATTCGGAGAATAAGGTAAATTACTCTCCCAAAGAGGAATTGCAGAAGCTTTAGTGTCAGCTGGCGTCCACGGTTGCATTTAGAACATATTTTTTTAAAATCATTTCAAGTGGAAAACAAAAGAGGACATATACTTATATTTCTTCTTACTCTGACTTCCTTCAACATACGCCTGAATTTCTTTGTGGTAGTTACTGTCGGATTTCCTATATCGACAGTGGTGTCGGCTGCGTTCAATTGTTTGTTGTTGTTTATCTATTGTAAGTTGGAAGTCAGCATATACTTATTTAAATAATTTAATAATTTTAATAATTATCGTACAATAAAATTTTAAATTTAATATTCATGCTAAATACATGCATACAAACATTTCACTAATTTCGTTTTGTTTTGTTTATTTATGTTCTTATTTTTCAGTGGCTTCAATATTCAACTCTCTCCCAGCGAACGCTCCCACTCCGATGAGGCCATTTACAAGGATCTACATTCGACGTAAGCAAATGAAATCTTATACAAATATTATAGAGACATCCTGTTTCCATTTTTAGTTGTAAGCTTATTCTAAAACAATGAAATCCTTCAACGACAGTGAGCTTCTCTGGCATTACCCGCTCACACACTCACCTCTTTTTAAATTACTGTTAGTGGGCTTTGGCTGCACGAAGAGCAGTAATGCGTTAGTTCCAAGAAAATATTTTTAGCATTAAAAATTGTTTTCTCTCTAAAAATAGGCGTGCATTTAGCTACCGGCTACTAAACCTACCCACATATGTAGATATGTTTTATTATATGTATGTATTTCTATACATTCTTACATACATACATACTTAAATACATACTTCTCATTTTTCTGTTTCCATATACTTTGCTATTTCTTCCTATTTTCTGCCTACTTATCGCACATACTTTTACCGCTGCCATCACTCTGCGCGTTTGTGTGAAACAACCAACCACCCAATCAATCAAATGCCCAATCAACAAATTAAATAATCGATCTACTAATTAAACATGTATCGAATGCTTACAAATATCGCACGCATGCACACGCACTTCCGCACGCTTCAACACTTTGGTTTTCGATATTTTTTTTTTTTGCGTATTTTGGCCATGCGCCGCCAGCAGTGAACCGAAAAAGAACGGCAGTCTGGATGGACCGGCAGAATATTATGATCGGGCCTCACACAGCGGCTCACTCTCCGTGGAAGATGAAAATAGCGATATAACGATCGAGAATGGTACGGAAGATACCGAGGACTATGAAGAGGATCTATTTTCCAACTTATTTGAAAACTTCGACGACGAGCAGCATTCCGTAAACAGCGCTAGCTCAGGCATTACTATGGCATCCAGTAATTACTCGTCGAATGCGCATATGCGCAGTGCCACAGTTGGCAATTTGAGTGGCATAAATAGCCGGGATTATCAAGGCTGCGTCGCTGCTGGCGATAGCGTTAGAGGCACTATCACATCATTGGGTAGCAGCCATTCGGGTTCGACGGACAACCAAAGTTTACAGCGTTTAGCCGCCACAGCGTGGAGTTACCAGGCAACTGCTAGAGAAGTAGGTGGCCATGAGTATCTCAATGATATTTATTTTGAAGAGGATGAAAAAGTTTACGAGGACTTATGCTACGTCACGTTCTCTTCGAAGTCAACTGAGGTGCGCACCACAGTATTTTATTGTTTGTTGCATCCTGTCCTCCAAATTATATATGAGAATATGTATGTATGTATATATTCTTAGTAGGTGCTGCCACTGCTGCATACATACTTACACACTTGTAAATTTAAATATGCAAAATATTCACACCATATTTTGCATATACTCCTCCGTATGCAAATATGTGCATGTGCGAGTCTGTATGTAGGCGCGCACTTACCTATGTATATATTTATATACTTTTTCACATATTCATATATGCAGTGGCTCGTTTAACCAAATGGTTGTTATAGTAGCTTTGTTTTATTATCACATACGCTCTTCTGTTTTGGTGCAACAATTTCATTGTTACTTGAATGCTTGTTACCTGATTCAGGAGCACGTATGCACCTACCACGTCCCTTGGCGTTCGGATTCAGGACCATGCGTGCTACTGCTTACATTGTATTTTTGAGTGTGTTCTGTTTGCTTAGTATCTGTAGAATACCTTCTTCTAATCGTTTTGCTGTTGAGTATGTAAATGAAGTGCAATCTCCGTTTTTTGTTTTTGTAAAAAATATTTATGAATCAATTCCTACTCCCCAACTTCTTTTATTGCCCTTAAATTTTTTAATTATTCGTTTCGTATTCATCTCACAATCATGCGGCTTTATTCATTTTTGAACTTGTGTAGAATATCTTGTAATTGCATGAATATGGCTCGTTTGAATTTCATAAATTTTTTTTTTCAATAAAATTAATTTTTTCATTCATTTCACTTGCTATTAAGTTTTAAAAATAGTCCCCTTCATGTTGTTATTTTATGTTCTGAACCAGCCTGGTCGCGCACCATTTTCAAATATTTTCTTAAAGTAAATTGCAGAAAATTGTAGAAGAAAATTTACACCCTTATTCTAGAACTCGAATTTTCGTTATTCGTAATTCGTAGCTACGTTACGAAAAACGAAAAATCGACATGCTGCAACCCTTGCGGAAACCTGTACAGCATTGCCAGCTATCAGTGGTTTTTCGAAGACAGCTGTATGAAGGAAAACAAAGTGGAAAGGATTTAAAAAAAAACATTCATAAAGTGATTATTTACAGGTCTATTCTGCACGTTACCGAAAATTTTTTAACCGAAAAATTTTATTATCAAAACATGTTATCAGTTCTTGTCACCGCGAATCTAGGTATGTTGGTAATCCAGTTGAAATATTCAGCAATTCAGCTATGAAGAATTGTGGAAATTCTGGCATTGCATTTTTCACGGGGCAATACTTTGTTACCAGCTTATGACATGGTAACAAAATTTACCGATTTCAAGAGTACACAAAATGCGAAGAGGGTTTAAAAATTGAGAAGAACTTATTTACCGGTTACAAAATTTTTATTACCAGCGCAGAATAGACTTGCTATGGTAAAATTGCTTGATTTTACATATTTTGAAGGAAACGGTGGATTCTATTGTATTTGCAATTATAGCAGCAGAGTAAGAGCGCGCTATGGAAGTGAATTCACAAAGCTATACGGAGTTGTCGGGCATAGTAACCATGGAAATGTGTTCAGTTTGGAAAGGAACCCCTCAAGTCAGATAGGGCAGTTTTCACTATGTCGCGTTAACACTAATTCTCCGTTAAACATCGTTATCGACTCCATGTTATGGGCATGGAGCCGATTGGGTCGATAGCGATGTTTAACTCAGAGTTGCAATAACCAGATATGTTGCAAACAGCCCTTTGAGTATTACTCCACAACAAGGTATTTTTACGGCTTGAGCGCCGAAAGCCACCCTGAAAAGCTTGTGAAGTTTTACTCTTATACTCTATCACTTCACTAGTCCTTAAAATCCCCTTCACTAATACCACTTTCCGTTCGGTCTGACTTTGTCGAAGCTGCACTAAATGAGACAGTTTTACTTTATGTGAAACAGCTTTACGTACTGCGCTAAAATTTTGTCGATTCTGCCTACATCACGCGTTCGAGGAACGAAAGTGTGACCATCCTCAGCAAATCCGTTAGTTGAGCTAGACAATAAATACTTTGGACTAAACTGATATATGTATATGTACACTTCATACACTTCATTCCCACGACAGTCGGTTCTACTTAACGGAATTACTCGGATCTTACCCGACCAAGGGCTGTTGTTTTGGCGATCTAGACCCGTTTATGTCGATGAAATATCTCTGACGTAGTTCGTCCATAGGTCTGCATCTGCTACGTATTCTTCTGCTAGGGCTGGCATCTAGTCAAACCCCGGCCCAGGAACTTACACCTGCTGTGTATGCCAGAGACAACTACACCACAACTCCACCTCAGTTAAGTGCAATGTTTGCAACCGGTGGAGTCACCTTAGGGTCAGATCAGGTCTACGGACACATCGACACTGGCCCCTTTCTGCGCAAACACAGCTGCTTCCACGCAAATCGCAGTCTGCCTGAGCAGCTCAACACAAACACCACACAACACAATAGACCAAACAACAGACACAACCGCACCACTACCCACACGCCGCCGGCAACAACTCCTGGTTCCTCCAACAATATGCACGGTATGTCAGACCAAGATATTCCGTAAAGTGGCATCAGTCAAGTGCAACACCTGTCTTGGCTGGTGCCACTTCAGGGCATGTTAAGGTCTGCGCACCACGCGAGATTGGAGGAGGAATTTTCGTGTTCCGCTGCACGGTCGCAAGCCCAAACTGCGACGCCGCTCACCGCCATTGACTGAACATGCATGTTGATGCTGAAAAATTTTGGTCTTGCAGGAGTAGACTATTTAGCCAAAGTTCTCAGCCTGCCAATGGCCACTCTCTTCATTACAGACATCTGGAAGGAGGGGAGAGTGATCCCACTGCTCAAGCTGGGGAAAATAGCTAACAACGCAGCGTCTTATCGCCCGATAATACTCCTTTCCCAGGTAGCGAAGACACTAGAGGTCTTGCTACTTCTGTATTTTAAGAACCACCTGACCCCAGCAAAGCATCAGCATGGTTTCCGTAAAGTGCTCAACACAACAAGAGCACTTAAGGCCATAAACACTCAGATAACACCTGACCTAAACCGCAACTATTCTAGTAGCGATGGATCTGTGGAAGGCCGTCAGTCACTCCACGCTACTACACTCAAACGGTGGTCGGCAAATTATAATTAATTTTTAATTAGATAATTATCTGAGTGGTCGACACTCGTCAGTATTTTTAAGAGACAAATGGGGCAAACCTTGAAAAGTTAAACAGGGGGTCCACAGGGTGGTTTTTCTTTCCCTATTACTGTTTAACTACTACATTTTCAAGCTCCCTAAGCCACCAGAGGGAGTGTCGATTGTCTTCTACGCTGACGATTGTTCGATAATGGCGTCTGAGAATAGATCCGATCTTTCTCGCTTCTTCACTACTAGGAGCCTAATCCTCTCCCCTGAAAAATCCTCAGCTACTCTGTTTACCACCTGTACAACCGCTACTACAACAACAACCACCTGGACAAAGGAGGTTAGACTACCGCTGGGTATTCGCGTTGATGACACACCAATTCCGACATTGAATAACCCGAAAATACTCGGAGCAACTTTCGACAGTCTGCTCTCCTTCTCTGCGCATACAAACGCAATTATCAACAAAGATGAAGCTGCAGATGACCTAAAACACAGCACTCTGGGCAGCGACCGGATGTCTTCTGCTGCGCAAATGCTCCCCATAAGAAAGCACAACACAATGCTCTGCAAGCAATTCTTAGTAGGGAGCCACAGACGTAGATACCTAAACAGAGGAGCCCTCTCCAAGGCATGCCAGAGGGCATCTATACGAACTCACGGACGAAAACCAGAGGTTCATAAAGCAGCCTCTGGACCCGAC